AATCATTAAATTAATTAATAATTACATAAGGTGCTATCTGAGTATTTCACAAAACCTGATTGCCAGAAGGTGCTATCTACTACCGTTAGCCTGCCAGAAGGTGCTATGTCACAGATGGCACCTTCTAGTCGAACAGTTCGCAGCCTGATACGCAGGTATTAGGTTCCAGTCAGCCCCTTCTGACACATGCCAAATAGGTAATTACAGATAAGAACAAAGGTGAACTTAGTGTTACTGATGAAACAATATAACATTAATGAGAGCTTTGTGGTATGGCACAGACGATGTTTTGCACATTTGGAAGAAAATTTAGTTTTGCTCTGTTCTAAAATGTCCTCTAAGTGCATAACAGCATGTCTGAAATCCTGAAAAATGTATGCTGTAAAATGTCATCGCTATTTTTAGACCATATTACAAAGAACATGACAATGACATATGCTCAATATTAATTATCTTGGTGCTTACAGAATACAATGTAAAAAGTGCTATGATTCACAGAATAAAAAGTAAGAGAAGTTCTTCTTGCAATAACATGAGAAAAAATAACCTCAAATCATAAATTTCAATCAATTTAAATGGAAAGGTTTTATAATACAATATTATGCTAATCAGATAACTCCTTTTTGTTAATATTTCAAAAGAAATTATTTCTACCAGAAGGGGCTATCTTCAGACTACAAAATGATAATTCCCTCATGTAAAGCATGATTAAAATATAATGATTCAAATCCTTAAATCTCAATTATCTCGAAAAGTACCAAAAATAATCCAGATAGCACCTTCTGGCAATGAAGCCTCGATATAATGTATGTCGGTTTTTTCCTTTTTAATGACATATTATCTGATTAATGATGGTGGTATACAGACCACGTAATGTCAGCAATATCTATCTGTACTACTCGATTCGTGAATGTTTCTAGACATGTTTACAGAATAAAGGTATAGGTTTTCGCTCTGCATGTCGAATGATCCCTGTCATCTTACTTCATCTTGTGCTTATATAACTTATAGAATGAAATATGTATCTAGATATGATATCGAAAGAAATATCTTATTCCACACTGTCACTGATTACGAAGTAATATCACTTGCCAAATAACTTAAGTTAATACGACTGTCTATAAAACAGTGTTATGTATGTTTGTAAGTTCTCCACACTGCGACAAGTTTGCGAGGATAAACTCTTTGTCATTGTCATCAATCACCTACACCCCCTGAAATAAACTCCGGAGGAACAGATATGAACGGGAGTACACGTGTCATCGACGTGATTGATCAGGAAATTGAAGTTAGAGAGGTAGCTAGGGAACAGTGAGGTGACATTGAAAAATAGAGCTGTTTCATTGATTCCCTTGATTTCACTTTTACTTGGTACGTGACGCCGATCGCGTAGACCTGTTCGGATTCTTATAGACAACTTAATAGATTACATTTCTACCACTACATCTACTCAAGTTCAGGTTGACTAATGTAAGTGTGACAATGGTGATTAATAAGACAATGTGCTATGGCGAGGAATTGTAATGATATTATTGAGAATTAGGATGCTATAATTATGATACGCTATGATGATGATGATGTATTAAGTATTATGGTGTGGATACTTTGGTATGACGACGATATTACGATATGTATTCTTTTGTATAACACCGATGGTATGGTGGTATGATTATTGATGACTTAACTAATTGTATAACAGTATGATAGTAAAATTCGACGGTATGATGGTAAAAGCGACGGTATGGTGGTATGATGGTGAAACCGACGGTATGGCGGTATGGAGCAAACCCGACGGCAATGTGGTATGATGGTAAAACCGACAAACAGTATGGTAGTATGGCGATAAAACCGACGGTATTGTGGTATGATTATAAAACCGACGGTATGGTGGTAAACCCGACGGCATTGCGGTATGATGGTAAACCAACGGTATGGTGGTACGATGGTAAAACCGATTGTATGGTGGTATGATGGTAAAACCGACGGTATGATGGTAAACCCGACGGCATTGTGGTATGATGGTAAAACCAACGGTATGGTGGTATGATGGTAAAACCGACGGTATGATGGTAAACCCGACGGCATTGTGGTATGATGGTAAATCCGACGGCATTGTGGTATGATGGTAACACCGGCGGAATTTTGGTATAATGGTAAAACCGACGATATGGTGGTATGATGGTAAAAATGACGGTATGGTGGTATGATCGTAAAACCGACGTTATTGTGGTATGCTGATAAAACCGACGGCATGGTAGTATAATGGAAAAACCGACGGTATGGTGGTATGTTGGTTAAACTGACGGTATGTGGTATGATGGTAAAACCGGCGGTATGTGGAATGATGGTAAAACCGACGGTATGGTATTATGATCGTAAAACTGACGGTATGGTGGTATGATGGTAAAACTGACGGTATGTGGTATGATGGTAAAACTGATGGTATGTGGTATGATGGTAAAACCGACGGTATTGTGGTATGATGGTAAAACCGACGGTATGTTGGTATGATGGTAAAACTGACGGAATGTGGTATGATGGTAATACCGACGGTATTATGGTATGATGGTAAAACCGAAAGACAGTATGGTAGTATGATGGAAAAACCGACGGTATTTTGGTATGATGGTCAAACCGACGGCATTGTGGTATAATGGTTAAACCGACGGCATTGTGGTATGATGGTAAAACCGACGGTATGTTGGTATGATGGTAAAACTGACGGTATGTGGTATGATGGTAAAATTGACGGTATGTGGTATGATGGTAATACCGACGGTATTATGGTATGATGGTAAAACCGACGGTATGTGGTATGATGGTAAAACTGATGGTATGTGGTATGATGGTAAAACTGACGGTATGGTGGTATGATGGTTAAACTGACGGTATGTGGTATGATGGTAAAACTGATGGTATGTGGTATTATGGTAAAACCGACGGTATTGTGGTATGATGGTAAAACCGACTGTATGTTGGTATGATGGTAAAACTGACGGTATGGGGTATGATGGTAAAACCGACGGTATTATGGTATGATGGTAAAACCGAAAGACAGTATGGTGGTATGATGGTAAAACCGACGGTATGTTGGTATGATGGTCAAACCGACAGTATGGTGGTATGATGGTAAAACCGACGGTATGGTGGTATGATGGTCAAACCGACAGTGTAATGGTATGATGGTTAAACCGACGGTATGGTGGTATGATGGTAAAACCGACGGTATGGTGGTATGATGGTCAAACCGACAGTATGGTGTTATGATGGTCAAACCGACGGTATGGTGGTATGATGGTCAAACCGACGGTATGATGGGTAAACCGACGGTATGGTGGTATGATGGTCAAACCGACGGTATGGTGGTATGATGGTAAAACCGACGGTATTATGGTATTATGGTAAAACCGACGGTATTGTGGTATAATGGTTAAACCGACGGCATTGTGGTATGAATGTAAAACCGATAGACAGTATGGTGGTATGATGGTAAAACCGATGGTATGGTGGTATGATCGTAAAAACCGACGGTATGGTGGTATGATGGTTAAACCGACAGTATAGTGGTATGATGGTTAAACCGACAGTATAGTGGTATGATTGATAAAACCGATAGACAGTATGGTGGTATGGTAACACCGACAGTATGGTGGTATGATGGTAAAACCGACGGTATGGTAATATGATCGTAAAAACCGACGGCATAAACTAGCAAATGCAATATAGTTAAATGTCCTTTTTTTCAAAATCCTTGTGCAGAAGTCTTAGTTTTGTTTCCCGAGTCTCAATCATCTGACGGTATTAATTTGAATTCGAAATAGTGATTGCTTTGTGCTTAGGCCATAAAATTACGATTAATATCCTTGATTTAAATCTTATCAAATTTAATTTTGTTTGAATTTTTATCGTAGTTTGACTTTAGTTATATAAGCCAGACGAATATTGAATTAATGGTAGACAGTTCTGCGTTAAACAATATTATATGACACACGGTACATTTATTCAAGAATTCCCCACAGGCGAACTTTGAACCTAACCTGTTATTTGTGTCCACGGTCCTTTACCAATTAAATAATGTGATGTACAAGCCCTCTGGAGACTATAAAATAATTTCACCTAGGTATGTTGGCATGTATAGGCATGTTATCATTATGTTCATCACAAAACACACTTGTAAGTTGATGTAATTGGTCCATTTGTTATATATGTGAATGCTGGTATGTATATATATATATAGAATGAAGAAACCTTGATTCCTATTAGATAGAGACACAAGTATTAGTATTCTCTTTCAACAGAACAATGTCGAACATAGTAACATTACAAAATACCATATCAAACAGATTATGTCTATAGTGGCAACCGCTGCAGGTGTATTTCTTGGTTATAAGTAGCAGTGACACCAATGACTTGTAACAACTTGAACCCTGAGTGTTTATATCAGCTGTATATACATATATATATATAATATGTAACATCATATACACGCTGGTCTGCGATGCTAACAGAGCGTTTCACTTGTCGATCATGCCGCCCAAGGCTGATCTACACGTCTCGTGCACGTTCTCAGGTATACACCTCACGCAGCCCGATAGCGTTACTCTAGACATAGCACGGTACCTTATATATTGTGAATTCGTCAAAAGTGAAACAGTCAGAATATGGAGGAATCTTTAATTCGAGTTGCGCATATTTGAGATAAATCTGGCAGTATGATGGTAAGTGAAAAATAGGGGAAACAATCAAAATTATATTTTGTTTACCTTTGTGCTTCCAAGAAGCGACGTATATTCATATATCTACTCGTAAATATCAGACATTTTTAAAAATATGAAAATAATTGGTCATTAATTAATTGAGTGTGTACATGCTAATTACAACCCATTTTAGTATATCCTCTATAGAAGTATTCCTGAATATATAATATGAGTTGTATAAGCAATTAACGACAAAATTATTGAATCTCTTTCTCTAAATTACATAAAATTCCTTCTAAATGTTGCATCATGATCAACGGTACTGGCGTTACCTAACTCATAATACACATCGAAAGCACGTGGACAGGGTTTGTGTATCAGCCACTGATCACATGATAAAACTAATATGATTGGCTGATTTTTACCGTGCCCCCATTTTGATTGGGCGAAACATCCCCGCCCTCGTATGGATGAGCTAAGCACTGATCGTTATTCGTGACTACTGTTTAGCGATGTATTTGGTGTACACTCCTTGGTCGATGATGGTTTGCGAGTTATTTCAGAGGAACTGATTATAAAAATTATCCAGGAATATTTGAGAAATTTCACAAAAGTAAGTACAGCGATTTTGACGTAATCGGGTCCTGTCGATGTTGACAGATACTGAGATAGGTCTATATTGAATCATATTTATTACCGTAAACTTATCATATAACCTATTGTTTACATGGAGTCACTGTGATATATAACCTTAATACTGATTAATTTACGTGATTATGTGTGTTTGTTCATTCTTTAAAATGCAGAGAAACCGTGTTTACAAGAAATATGTGATGTAAACAAAGGGTGATTGTCTCCCCTCAAAATAGTAACACGCGCAGGGGTTGTGATACTCTACGTTAGCCCTTATAAAAACAATGAGGCTATTTGTATTCAAAATTTTCCTGGTGTTAGATTAAAATGCAAACGATTAAAGCATGGGATATAAGAGTGTTTCATATCTGATATTGAACTACGTGCACGAACGTAACGATTTGACTTGCATGCGAGGGGTGTGTCGTTGACCGACTTAACCTGCTAGCTAATGATATTCATATCGGAGTGTTCAAAGTCCTACTCTAGGTCGCGACACATTGACACCGTTCCTGCGTGGTCAAGTTTATGCATATTTGTTATCTACACATGTAATTCGTGCTAATGTGTTATAGAATAACGGTCTATTTACAACAAACAATGTTGTACCAGTTGATTGTTGTTGTGGAAGTTGTATGATGAAAATAATACTAACAACACTTGCTGAACACGTGAACAGGAAGTGACCTCGGATTATGTTTATAAATAGGCTGTTATATACATAGACTTTCTATTTTTAGAATACAGCACATGGTCTTATTCTTAATGTATACGTTTTGCAACTAGGCCTATCGTTTATTTTATTATTTTAAGCAGCTGACAAATTTTATGTTTCTGTTGTATATGTTCATATATTGCACCTGAGTAATACGTAAGATACATAGTCTGACACTAGGAGATGAACATTACATTACTTTCCTTAATTTAGAATAATAAACATTTAATTAAAAGTAAACATAAATTCAAATCTTGAATCTAACCCAGTTCCTGTTTATTTACACACCCTTTGAATGTATTAGAAAATGTTTTTTGAATGGTCATTTGTTATATAATCCCAGAAAATAATAATATTTTTAACATAATTATTGGTATTTCCAGGCAAATATGGTGATAAAAAAGGGAAAGGACCACATCACCAGTTGCAGTGACCCAGTTGAGCGTGATGCTGTGGAAACACTACTGTCCATGGGCAGTATACAGATGGTTCAGGAGGGCAAGACTGACAGCATGTCTGGTAGCTCCAGTCCTGCCTACACCCCCTCCATCAGTCCCGAGGGCTCTGTGTGTTCCTCCCCACCCCCATCTCCATTCAGTGTAGGATCCCTGTCTGGGGAAGATAGCAATGGTAGCTACATATGCCATGACATGCGCCGAGAGTCCAAGTTGGCACAAGTAAGTTATAGCTATATCCCTTCATTAGTACCTTGTGTGCTGGACCCATGGAAGTTATATGGAAGATGAATATGTAGTTGGGTGAATTTTGCTATATGTATATTTCCTAATGTATTCTAAGCATCTATTCCGTGCCCTTATTGTTTCTTTTTTTTCTTTTATGAATTTACAGTTACTTAGAGAACCAAAGCCAGCAGAGGATACTGTCATTACCAAAGGTCGCCGTGTCTCAGTCATTGTACCCAATCACACAAGTCATGCACGACTGACCAACAGTCCCACCTTTGCTCTACGGGAACGGGTTGTCTCTACATCCAGTGACTTCTGTCGTTCTCCTGAAAAAGATTTATTTGTGGGCAACATGTCTCAGTCTGATGTGATAGGCCTAAAGCCATTAGATGGTACATCAAGTAATGGTTTATCCAGACTTGTAGCTCCGTTCAATCTCAACCAATTACCACAGATCCCTGTTAATTTAAATGGACTTGGATCAAATCAGCAGCCCATCATCCAAGTGATCGTGGTGAACAACTCACAGCAGGTGGCAGCCCCATCTGCTTACCGGGCATGGGTTGACAGACTATGTCCGATCGCCCCAGCACCGCCTCCTAGTGACCGTAATGGGAACCACATTGAGCAGGACCAGTTGGATCGGAGTCGACGTCGGACTCATGCCTGTACTTTCCCTAACTGTAACAAGACATATTTCAAAAACTCCCACCTGAAGGCACACCTCCGCACCCACACGGGTAAGTGAAATACTTGCCAACCCCGAAACTAACTGTTAAACACAATGGAGGCAATGTTGAAGTCAGGCTTGATGGTATCAACTATTTCTCTAGCAAATATATACAACACATATTTAAAGTATGTGATAAGATTATGTATATTGATGACTTTATTGTATACAGTATTAACCAAACATTGAGTCTGGAATTAAATGATAAATATCCTACTATTCTCCAATAGGAAATTTATAGAAAAAAATTGTGGTATCTTTAATTTAAATTTTGCTGTGTTTGTTTTGTGTCTTTGTAACCTGTATCACAGTATTCATATGTATACACATACCAGTAACTATGAAATTTGATTTTTAGGTGAGAAGCCTTTTACCTGTGATTGGAATGGGTGTGGCCGAAAGTTTGCTAGATCTGACGAACGTTCCAGACATATTCGAACACATACTGGCGAGAAGAACTTTACATGTGAAATCTGTGACAGACGCTTCATGCGAAGTGATCATCTGCGGAAACATGCTCGCCGTCATCTCTCCGGCAAAAAATGCAAATCTCCAACCTCATCATCAGACATTTCCCACAATTCAGAGGAGTCTCGAGATAGTCAGCTTTCAATGGAGTCAGAAGATTCAAATCAACAAAGTTGTGGCTCCCCACAGCTCATGGACACCGATTCTTAGCTGAATGTGTGTGGAATGTTAGCTTAATATGTGTGAAATGTCAACGAGAGTTTAGTGGGAGTTACAGATAATATAGGTGAAAATGAATGACAGAGAGAAATAATATAAATGGATGGAAAATGATATGAAAACGAGAGAGAGAGAGAGAGAGAGAGAGAGAGAGGAAAAGTTGTTGCAAGGATTGCTGTAAATAACTTTTGAAATAGTTAACTGAAGACATGAACAATGGTATGTTCAACTTTAGTAAGAGTGAGTCTTTGTTTTGGGGGAATCAAAAGAAATTGATTAATCTGAGAACATGGGAGAAAAATTCTGACACTTGAAACCTGTTATTGTTCAATATGAAGTTTACTTGTGGGAAAACTGTTTATATCAGTATATATGTCCTGTGATGCATTGCCTGATGCAATGTTTGTTTTAACGAATGCTCCAGTGTTGTATAGAGGTCAACTACCTGAAAAAAACTTCGTAACCAAACACTGATATTGAAAACGACAAATGTGAGCTATCAAGTAGAATTCATATTGTACAATTGACAGTTAGGATTATTGAAAAGTGATTGAAAGGTGTATCAGAGGAAAAAATGTACGTTTCGATTTTAAAAATGTACGTTTCGATTTTATCTTTTTTTTCTTCTGCTTTCTACTTATTAATACATGTGTCAAACACCTATTGTATGAGCTACGTTTTTGGCAGTTGAAAGATTTCAAGTCCATTAATTTTGTACAAGTTTTTGATTGTAAATTCAAGTTGCCATACTTCTTTTTTTTGTAGTTTTATGAAATCAAATTATCAATGCCTAAGATTTATAGGAAAAAATATGTGTTACTGATTTCAGAATTAAAGTTATCAGCCTATTTCTGGCTAGAAAAATTGTCACTTTTTCAAAGGCAAAACTAGAAAGAAACATACATGTTTGCTTGAACAGTCTTGTTAAATGAACTGGAAGCAAGTTTTTGAAGTCATTGTTCAAAGAAATGGCTTTATCATCACTGAATCATATCTTTAGCTGCCATGCATACTTTTTGAGACATTTAGACAAGATTGGTGGGTCTAGATGTTTCTTTGCACACAAGAATGATCATGTGTCAATTTTTTGACACTTTTTGTTGATTAAAAAAAACCATTTTTAAAACATTGTGCAATACAATTATTGGCTGTTGACCATATATGTTTAAGCTAAATCATGAGTCCTAGTCCCTTGTATTTCGACAGAAACAATGTATATATATTATAGAACCGGATAACATTGTAAACATAATAGTCCTTTCAATGTTGATCGTGTAAATGTAGTGTACTCTAATTTGTTACTTGTTTGTATTCATAGTAAACTTTGTCAGTTTGTCTTTTGATACTACATAACAAAATGAAAATATATTTTGTGTATTTTCACCACATAAGTATGTGGTAGATATGTACTGTTAATAATGGTTTTAAGTGTTTTGGTATTCACTGCTTAAGTTAATTTAATGTAGTCTATTCAGACTTGTCAAGATATTCAATTTTGCATTATTTTACAAATGGTAAAAAAGACCTGTTTCAGATGTTGTGATTTAGTGGTAAAACTGAGATATAACAAACTATATGGTACATGTGTTTACTTAGATATATTTAACATATATATCTATCAGTCAGGTTTTTTTCAATTTTGAATCCTGACTTTTCTTTTTCTTCCACTGGAGAATATGTTCATGTCTATTCTACCAAGTCCAATGTACGGAAAGGTTATTATGTTAAGTTGATAAGGCAATGTGACCTAGACATAACGGTACTAAAATTTGGCTGTTTATTTGTGTACACCTTCACAGGCTTGTGATGGGATCAGATATGATGTGTATCATAAAGATCTATGTATACATTGTATATATATATATTGAGATTTACAAATGAGAATTCTCAATTGGAACAGCCTGTGTTTTTAAGGTGTATGGTCTGTTACTGATAAGATATCTTTTCATCACTGACCTGCTAGAATTACATTATACCTACCACTGGCTTTTTGCTTTCTTTGCAGTTATGATATACTTGCTAAAATTTACATTTTCGGACATTTTACACGTCTGTAAATAGTGGCCTTTTCCCCGCAAATTACAGAAGCTTAAAATTAAATAAGACAACAGTGTACAAGTTGATGGCAGAAGAGGATAGTTTTTTTTTGTGTTTGTTCATTTGCTACCTACCATGGCCACTTTGTGACCTACTGGTATCTTATAAACCTCAGGTGTATATCTCCCTCGTGACATTGGCATACAGGGACCAACTGATATTTTATTTGTTTACTCATACTACATTTTGTGTGCTGGCTATCGTTTTGTTCATTACTTTTCTAGCATATCGTATACTCAGACTACCATGCAGTGAAACAACGCCCATCACATACATTTTATGTAATTGTAACACACAGAGAACAGTCTGGTAACATCACATATTTACTGGGAAGGCAAACAATTATGGTTTCATTTCATTTTTTCAGTCAATTGGCATTATTTGCAAATGTGCTGCTGGTTGAACAAATGATAAAAATGATTTCATACTTGTTCCTATCCTATCAATGTGATGAAACTTGCTGAAACACTTTTCATTGAAATAATGGGAAGTAATTTGACTTAAAGAGTTGATAATCCAATTTTCTTGGATGTCAATTTCTAAATATTTCTGTTACACAAATTCACCACTTTGAGTTTAGCTAGTAAAAGTGATGTGGTGATAGAAATCATGTGATATATGCATGTGCACTTTGAAGGGGTAATCCTTTTTAGTTTAATTGACTTTGAACCGTAAATATTTAAATGGAAAGTCTTGAATATGGGAGCTCTTTGAGGGAGCTTTTTCCTTTCTTCAATATGTTACATTGAATATCTAAAATCTTCAAATTAAAAAAAAAAAATGTGATGTGAATTGTTCTTAAACATTACAGACTTATAAACGAGCTTTTCAGACATTTAATCGTATAACTGATCTTTAAATGCTTAATTGGGAAGTTATTTAACAAATTAGAAATTTTCAATATAATATTTGCATGTAAATGTTCTTTATGTTTTCATACTTCAAAAGTGTTGTTCTATTTATTGTCTGTACATTACTTATAAGAGGTATATGTTCACTTGGACAACCTAGTCACCAGTTATAAAACGTAGTGCTCCAGTAGTTCACTTACCAGAATGCTTCTAATGCATTCACAGCAAATGTTCAATGTGTACTTTAGAGTCGGTTTAATTTGTTTCCATTTGTAATTTTTTGTAATTTATTATTTATTTATATTGCAATCTCCAATGCAGTATTTTTATATTTCAATAAATATGATAAATACTTACGAGTGTCTTTATTTTATGTTTTAATGTGCCCAGTTAGCTGTATACATATGAATTTGGGACTATCAAGAATGATCCCAATTCCTGAAGCACCTGCAGTTAACAGAAAATAAGCCATAGAAGCTTCGGACAATATCCTGCTGGTCTCGAATTAGCGAACAAAGAGTGAATGACACGGTGAAGTGGCATAATAAAGTTTCTATAGAGAAATATTGCCATTTACATGTTATACTGAGGCAGTGTGTATGCCAGTGGCTTAATACACTCAAAAGGGTCGTTTTTTCGTATTTCTTTATTCAAAATGTAGCGATTGAACAAAATAAAATCAATACGAAATCCAGTCCTCAAACAGATTAGTAAAAGGACGACTGTATACGTGTGTGACGAGGACTTAGGCTGTATCTCAGGTACTGGCCTAAAAGACGACTGTATACGTGTGTGACGAGGATTTAGGCTGTATCTCAGGTACTGGCCTAAAGGACGACTGTATACGTGTGTGACGAGGACTTAGGCTGTATCACAGGTACTGGCCTAAAGGACGACTGTATACGTGTGTGACGAGGACTTAGGCTGTATCTCAGGTACTGGCATAAAGGACGACTGTATTCGTGTGTGACGAGGACTTAGGCTGTATTTCAGGTACTGGCCTAAAGGACGACTGTATACGTGTGTGACGAGGACTTAGGCTGTATCACAGGTACTGGCCTAAAGGTTTACTGAAACAATGACATTGACCTTTCAACTTGAAAAGGTGTCCACACGTTTTTGGTCTGAAAACATCATCTATTTATTTACTGCTAGTACAAGTGAACTTGACCTTTGACCTTCAAACCGTAAAAGCCATCTAAAGCAAGAACTTTCTGTAAAGAAGCACTGTATGAAGTTTGGATTTGACTTGGTGCCAAATATAAATTTGGCTTTTGAAAAGAAATGGATACTAATAATGACGTTGACTTGTTTCACTTTCGAACTTGAAATGAATCTCAAGTCAGCACTTTTGGTAAATAAATACGTATGAAGTTATGAATGTTATCAGCCCATAAAACTCATATTACCGCATGGAAATAACTTTCTAAATTTTATTTCAGTAACCTTAAACTTGAAAAGCAATCTCAAACAACAGTATTAAGCAAGAGAGAACTGCAGATGTAGTTTGGATTTGATTGTCTCACGGTCACTCAATTATTATTTTAAAAAAAGAAATCTTTTCAAAGTAAAAGTGACCTTGACCTTTGACCCTCGGATTCTAAATAAATAATTCCAAGCGGAACCTTTATAGTAGAAGCACTGTTTGGGATTTGAGTAAATTTTTTGACTGTAACAATTTTATACTCGTTTATACTTTTTATTAGAATAAAAACGAGTAATATAAGTAGAGAATATTTTTCTTAATTGAATTAAACATGTTACCGTAGAGTTTTAATTAGTTGGCTGGTATAAACTTTAATAAATAAGCTAACCTTTTACATTTATTTATGTTTTCCTGAAATTATTCCCTCTATTCCCCGTTACGGTTGTATTTCATGTTTGCCGTGATTCAAGGGAGATAACAATCATAGATATGACTATCCTGAGATAAGAGTTTCTTCCCTTGTGTAATGCTGCTTAAATTGTTCTTACAAATAAAATGAAATTTAAGCTTGTTGTTTTTCAAGTTTAAACATTAACAACAATAACTGTATTTTACCTCCAAGTAAATTTCAGTGATATGGGTAATAGAAAACTCAAAACTACAAAACAGCATAAGATGATAATTTTTTGAATTGAAAACAACACAAAAATGTTGAAGTAAAAGTTTTTTTTCGGAATCTAAGTTACGTTTATCCCCCAACCCTTTAAGATGTAATTAACACGAATGGTAATTTGAATAAAATTATATTTTACATTTTGTTAACCTTTTGCTTTACAATAAAAGTTGCGTGCTCTTTAGCTGACGGTATGCCACTCAATACAATTGAATGAATAAATAGATACATGTAAATACAAAAATCGTTAGTAGCTTAGAGTGATACAATTCCGAATTCAAATGACATGTCTGACTCACAAATCTTCATCTTCAGAAATGTAATAATGCCTCTTGGGATATAAATACATATTTTTAACATTATTGCGAATCAGAATATTTCGTAAGTCAGATTTACATAAGGAATATTTGATTTGTTTCACTACCGTTTTGAGGTGAGAGTCGTATTTCGCCTGGTAGATCACGAACTTTGACGCCTTGTCAACGCTGTTTACGTTACGTTTCCTCTGTACCACTGTACCACACGTTAACTCGATATGTTGATCCAAGTTCTCTACACCTTTGGGACATGTCAAATGACAAGACTGAAGACTCTGTTATATAGCGGACAATACAAACAGACTAGTTTGATCTTTTGATATCCATCGAAAATATAGCGCGGTTGCATAACCGTAAAATTGACGAGCTTTGAAGTCGGAGGGTTGCCACTCTATAATTTCAAAGGACATATCTTTGCGTTGCAAATCGATTATCTAGTTTTCATCAACCGTAATCCATTCAAGAGACAGCAAAATAGGGAGACAGCGTATATCTACAACGATCCGTGTCAGTGTTCAACATCATGGCCAAGTATTCGGTGACATTTAATCAGATTCGTGCGTAATTGGTACACTACATTAGAACGTCCCTTTTCCTGAGGGCAGTTTGAGTTAATGTCCAATTGTACTCTATGAGAATGTTTACGATATTGTTTTATCTAGGTCGTCTGTCAGCCTGGACTTGTCCCGTACTACAGATGAGACATCAAGAACACTTTAGGCACACCACGCGAACATATTTTTTAAGACGCTGCAATATTTTACTCTGTTCCAAATTTTCTGAAGATGTTTTTTTCATGACATGTCTCCAACAACTGTTTTTGAATGGCTTAATGAAGTAGTAAACGCAGTCTCAGTTTCAGGTGTGAAATAGTTTACCAATCGCTAGGTTGATACGATACCCCTCCTTTGAAGAAAACAGAGGCGCTATACCCGAACTGTAAACCCGATCAGTTTTAACGGTGTATGACCGCACGATTCGATTTCTTTAATCTTTGCCCATAATATTCATACTATAGATACACTGCTTCAATTTCTACAATATCGACTGGGCCTATCTTTCGTTTGTTTGTTGTTTGTGTTGTGTTGTTTTTGATTTTTTTTAACGCATTAGTTTGTTTCATTATGTTATAAATATGACATTATCATGATGAATCATATCAATCACTGACAAACATAGATGTAGTATTACACTTATGCTTGACAAATGAGTTTACCGTAAGACTTTAACTTTCCTCCTTGTAGTGGCTTCACTGATCGCGACTGCGATCGGCTATCATGGATACGACGAGGAAGCCATATTTCTAGAGGAAAATCTACCAACTTGCGTATTAAAAAAAGAAACTGGTAAAATTTATAAAATTGCCTTTTATAAATCATCGTAATGGGTATTGCATCATCTTTGCACTGAAAGCCAGTTTTACTTAACTATTAAGAAGAATGTTAGACATTTTCTGTCAATTTTAAAGAGTGCTTTTTGTATATATCAACTTTAGTTCGTAGAAAAGTAATTACAGAAGGAAGTGTTAATGTTATCTCTCGTGACCGTAACATTTGTTACTAGGAACGTCAGCACTGGTGACAATAGCTAAATAAAGCCGTTTAACACATTGAACCATGTGATTTTGGTGTATTAAGGTTCAAGAGAAACATCGATTGCATGCGAGTATTTCCTCCTGATGTTGGGTTTTTTGTTTGTTTTTTCATCTTCTAACAGTTAATTCTTTTGGGATGTAAACGAATTCCTAGTGCAAATTCTGCTCCCTTCTGAATTCTCCATATCCATATGTATGAATGGCATCTTTTGTACCTCACACTTGAATTTAATACGTGGGCCTCCCTTGTAGTACTGCCTACCGCTTCACATTCCTTATCGTCAACCAAACTGCCAGTTTTCACCTGTAGGAAGCCGATTTTAGGTCACCAATGTCTTCTGTGGATAACCACTTATGTTTGAACTCTTTTAAAAATCGGAATGACACAATACTTCCTGAAGAAAGCAGTGTTCACATCAGTGAGGATTAACCTCATTCGATATTCTTATCCATTTATATCACAAAACTCTTTTATGTTTTATTAAGTCACAATTTCGGAAATGATTGTTTTATATACCCGATATTCTGGCCTCTCTTATATAATTGAAGCATTCACGTTGTAAATCAATATATATAGATATACTCATAGAGATAGCCCAAGTGAGAGTTAATAAAAGAAGCAAATCTTTAGAAGGATAAACTAATATTTATTAAAATCTTGCTTGATAACGGTTTTCAAACATTCTACAATAAATGAATAGTTAACTCTCGTATGTGGACGGATTTATATTTCCAATACTACGACATATTGACAACCTACCTGTGATATAAGCATGAATGTTTGAAACAAATCGTATATGTTAACTTCAAATAATGGCGTCACTACACTGATTATGATGTCAAATAAATACATCAGCAAAATATAAGTAGCATATAACAATGAAATATGAAATATCCGTGCTATACATAAACAGGATGATCCTGTGGCTACACCATATAGTGGGAAAACACACCAGTCGGTAGTAGCGGTGATGGGTCTGATGTTTTGTTCTCTCTGTACTGTGAGAGGTATATTATTGATTAGACCTGGGTCCATGTCCATACAGCCGTTCTCATGCTCATATTCTTTGCTCAAGCCCATTTTTCTGTTGAAAAAATAAACTAAAACAATTGATGTTTTGTCATTGATTTGAAGGAATACTGACGAGACATTAGAAGAATACCCCTTTTCATTGTTTTTTTCTTGTAGATTTGACCGTGTCACAGGAATTCAACCGAGTAGCTAGAAAGTGAGTTTGAGCATAGGGCTCATGCTTGAGTGCTAGCATTAGAACGGTTCCATGAATATGGTCTCTGATGTGTCGTTCAATATACTATGATGATAAGTTGGTGCATGTTTCAGTTGTGATTTGTATAACTGTGTAGCATTTTTGAAGTGCGACCTTGAATATATGATTTTTTACTGTCCATTTGTACTGTGGACTTATGCAGATTATATTAAGTTTCTTACTGCACGTATCATAATACGTGTTGGGTAACAAAGGTTAAATGTTCTACTGTTATATGTTACAACATTGTCCGTTGAAGGTTGACGCAGGGTACTTTTCAGAGAAAAAGAAGAAGCTGCAAGGTCAAGTTACTTTCGTATTTTTCTATTCATGCAGCCATAACTACGAACATTTGATGTACCGTAAAGAGCAGCTATGGCGTTTGATAAGGTAACACTACCTCCAAAGCCACATCCTCCACATTAATGATGAGACGAAATGTATTACTCAAAGTGTGCTACTATATCGATGGGAATTTTCAATTCATCATAATATCTGCTATTATAAAGTCAAACACTCGTGCCAAATTCAAGAATGACATCAAAACTCACCTCTTCACGTCTGCAGTTTAGGCTCTTTGCAAAGACGTCATGTAAATACCACCCTTTCTTTATTCATTTATGTGCATATTGCGATAAGTATCTGCTTGCTTAATGTATAAAGGTGATTGTAGGCCTTTTGTTTTGTTTCACAATTATAACTAATACTGTTATCCATATGTGATAAACCACTTTAGAGTAATTGTACAAATTATATAGGACGCTTTATAAATGTTGTATATTATTATTATTATTATTATGATATCAGATTCAGTTCAAGAAATCAACCTGTATATAAGTAGAACCATTAAATAATATCTGTATGCGTCATTAAAAGAATAAAACAAAATTTCAATAATTGTCGATTATTTTTCCCAGACATTCCTGGGGTTATTTTCAGAACAGTTTGTACATATCAATGGTTCAGTGTCCTCTTTGGATAAGAAAAAGGAAGTAGACTTCCAAAACATGGTCCTGCGATAAAGTTGACCTTATATTAAGAAATCCCAATGTGTGTATGGAGATATACGGGTATCACTGTCATACACACTTGATATGCTTCAATTTTATATCTTGAGCGACTCTCTGTAATGATCAAAATAGTCACTGAAGGAGTGAACCATTGACTAAACGACCGAGACAATGTCGCACTTCTTTCACAGCGAGACGACATGAACTGTCCACTTAGTTGCCGCAGTAACAAACCAACATTCGGCATAAAATTGTCGTTAACATAGAACGGGAATATTCTTTATCCATTCCTATTATTATTGTTGCATCCAGTATTCGTAATTATGACTGAAAAGATTGATAGTACAAACTTCATTGCACATGATCGTATAAGATGTGACAGTGTGGAATATGCCATTCGCTTTACGTGTACGTGTCATTATTTTATGTAGGCGTCTGGTGTAGGTTGTAAGTGGCCATCGTTTTTTTCTGCAGTCTGTATAACAAAGTTATATTAAACGGCCTGGTCGGGGAAAAAATGTCATATTTGCTAAAATGGCATACACATGTTTAAAATACCTTCTTATGAAATATACTGATTCAAATTTTGCTGAAATTCACTCCCTAAGAGTAAAAATTAACAACAACATATAGGTAGGAATTCTACACTTGCATCATACTTGACCCTTGAGTTGAGTCCGACATGGCTGATAGACGGCGTGCTATTGTTGTTATCTTCACTGCCTCACTTTCGATACAACNTTTTTTTTTTTCCCCCCCCCCCCCCCCGACCAGCCCCTTTAAGGAATAACAATAAAAAGTCATGTGCAAATAAATAACAAGATTTTCCTTAACCTGACTCATAGTTATTGGTGTTGTGTTCATACACTTGTTCTATTGTGGCGAGTCCTTGACCTCTAAACCTTCGTTGACATGGATACGCTATCACTCATTTTAAAGCAGCAACTATCTACATCGATGTCCGGAACGTAATCATAAGTTGTCTGTGTAACGACTCCATTCTTGTTAGATGGTTTGAACCAATGATGATCTAACATTATGTTCTTAGCTATTTTATTTATTTCCGTAGCCCTCCTAAAATAGAATATTCAAGCATTACACCGGATATTGCTGAATTAATTTGCATCGTTGTTTTTTTAGTATATTTTTAGACCTCTATCACCACGATCCAGGTAGTTTCCAGATAATGAAGTTAGATTGTAAAAAGCTATTCGTTATCGTCTTCGTCGGAATATTCCTGTAGCTGCATGTTCCGCTCCCTGCGCGTCCTTCTGTTCCTCCGACTGTCCTGTATAGTGCTCGCTCTGGTATTCCCACCGTCGGCACCACCTTCATTTTTCGATCTACTACTGCGACTTGAACCTCTATCACTTTCCTCACCATTTTGCTGTTGCTCGGCGTCTACTCTACCTTTCCGACTGTTCCGGCTGCCGATGTCGCCCCTTGAGGTGTTTAGGTACTTTTCTATGGCGTCTGGTCCCATACGACATATTTCGATTGGTGGACTGACCAGCGGGTTGCCGTCTAGTGTGGATGAAGTGTACCTTATTCCCCAGTCTAAATGCTTCAGATTGCCGAAGGCTCGGGGCAGCTGTTTGAGGAGGTTATTGCCAATCCAGAGACAGCGGAGGTTAGTCATGTCACAAATCGTATCTGGAAGTGCTTCTAAGCGGTTATAGAAAAGCAACAATGTGTGCAGCTCAGTCAGACGGCTTATTTCAGCGGGAAGCACGTGTAGTTTGTTATCACAAAGGTCAAGGAACTCCAGTCCCTCCATCTCACAAAGCTGCATCGGGAAATCCTCAAGTTCGTTGTTTGCTAAATGCAAACTCCTTAACTTTGTGAGTTTACTGAAACCTTCTGGTAACCAACTAAATTGATTATTGCTAAGAGCCAGCCTTTCTAATTGGATTAGTTTCGTAATTTCGATCGGTATTTCATCTAACTCGTTGGTGTCCAACACTAATACTTTCAAATTGACGAGTTTGCAGATTGCACGTGGAACGAACATTAGTCTAAATGTGAGGCACGATTGCCGCTCCGGGCTGAGATCAAGAACTTCGAGCTCACGGATGTGAAACAATGCCGGGGGAATACTGGATAAATCTCGTCCTCTCATCTTTAACTTTTTTAATCCATAAAACAACGGATCTTCCGTTTCTATTCGCATGCGTAGTTCCCTTACATCGGAGAGTGATCTAGGTGTGTAGATGTGCGCCATGTTTGAAGAACACCTGCTATGAGGACTGTTACTGTCGTTGTAGGCGGCTTAGCTTTGGAGCGGTATGCTTAGGCCCAGGCACCTAAACATACAGAAAATGAAAGTCAGTAACTATCCCCTAGGTCATATTTCATAAGCCAGAGTTTATAAGTGCTTGTTGAATAGGCCGTTTCGATTTTGGTATTGATATAGAGAGCAGTTATATATAACATAACGTTTACTCCTAAATGCCGCTGGCGCACTCAAGGTTGCACTTGAACTTTCCGCGAGCGTCGTGAACTTCCGGTTTCTTTAATATTCTTAACAGGCCGACAACTTTGCCCTTCAATAAAATGATACAGTCTGTCGAAAATCTGTTTCGTTTTGAGGCTAACTCCAAATTGTAATACTATCCACGTTACCTGCAAGTCATGACGTCACTGTCGCACGGAATCACCCAAAGTGAGGCTTTTGTTCTGTAAAAAGAAAACAATCAAGGTTAATAAAGATATTAGATATTTATGGTGTGGCTTTGTTGTTTTAAAGGTCTAATGTGTTTCTGTCATTCTATCACACATTTAACAATAAAAATCACGAGTTGACAGGCTACTTTATCAAATAAATCTTATTTAAAAACGCGTTTCTTAATTCAAAAGGTGCTTTCAAAAGTGATCGAATATAAAAGATAAACAGAGACAGACTTGAATCGTGCGAGTATCATACACCTGGGCTGATATAATAATATAATGTGTATAGAGGTTCTGGCATTAGGTGTATTGTGAAAGTCATGAAGTACGTTTGGTTAATTTGACAGGTCCAACGTTAAATCGATTGCCGTGTAGCCGGGGAATGACGTAACTGATAATAAATGTGTGCAATTTAAATTCAATAAAACTGTCATATATATCTCCCTCAAGAATGGCAGCTGTGCTGCAGCTATGTGGCTTTAAAGTCTAATTATTACATAACGATACGGGGTCGCCATTAAACGTCTCCCGTTAAGACGTGTGTGTCAACCTATATTCAGTTGTCATTAGATGTGGAGAGATTCGTACCCTTTCGGAATTGATTTGTATATTCGACCTCGTAAAATTGGTTTTCGAAAATCAACTTCGTCAGTAATGCTTTTTACTCCTCTTTGGTTTGGGATCTTTTCCTCTGCATTGAAAATATTGAAATATACCTGATACGATAGTAACAATTCGATAACATTAGACGGTACTAGCTCTGCATGACCTTCATTACACAGCGCATGTTTATGTTTCAATCCCACCCGAAACGGACGTAAACCTTTCCTTTGATTTCATTTCGTCGAGTCGACCAAGAAGCCATTCTTTGCTCAACCCATTATTTTATTTTGTGCAAATAAATTTAACGGAATAATCGCTTAAGTAAATATTGTCCATACGCGTTCAATTACACACAGTATGACGAATAGACAAGAGATATGCGATATGGAGCGAAGTAGTACAGTGGATTCCCGGGTAGACAGACAATCATATATAAAAACTAGGGGCGGGATGGGCTCTCTACTGTGTCGGGTATATCATCGTATTTACGTGTTATTTTTAATCGTACCTAATGAACCTATGTCACACAAGCACTGGCTTTCACCTCAGATTCCAATTTCCTGTACCAATACCATTTATAACATGTGTACTCATTAAAGAAACACTCACTCGAACAGGAGTTTGCTTTTTATATTCTTATAGGAGGAAAAACCCACACACAAAGAGGTTTGCTTGATTTGTCGACATTAACACATTTTTTTTTGTACAAGAAGGGACAGTGGCACGTTATAGCCTTTGCCTTGAGGCTTTGATTAGCATGATATTGACGAGAGAGATTGTTCGATGTAACCTAGCGGCTGCCAGTACGGTTATACGGATGTTCAGTATTTATTTGGTCATAGTTAGCAAAAAACCTATCTCGAAAGTGAAATCATGATCAATACATCAACAACATAGTTCCAGTATAAAAAAACTGACAGCCCATAGTGTACCTACTGCATTAACTCCCAGTCAAGGCGAAGTCGAGGTGATGACAGTACCCACTAGCATGTCCCAATGAACGTCAATATGTAATAAAATGTAGATGAAAAGAACGACCCGGCTTTGATATCTGTAATCAACTTACATGAAAGGGGGAAGAATACTTTTTTATTTAGTACCACAGTTCTAGTTGCTCACGTTTACTGTATTAACTGGTACGATATGACAATGTCTGCCCGTTGCTTTGACAACCCCCATGTTGATTCGATTCAATAAATCACACTAATTGTACATATATCATAGCTACACTGATAGGGAATTGATGTAAAGAGCTTTACAACATGGTCAGCATATACCTTGGATGTCTCTAATATGGATGTTTAATTACCACAGTGAAAAATGAAAATAACTATTGTTTTCGTCTGGTCTTTATGTCATTAATTTATTCATTAATTTGATTCATCAAAATATTAATCAAGCTGTTCAATTTGATGAAATTAAAAGAAAACAGTTTCGGTTTCAGTGCCTTAACCACTGATTAACTGACCATATGTGCCGGTGATTTTCGTTAAAACCGTGATCTGCATGACATAAAAACCGAAGTAGAACTATATGCAGTACAAATTTACATACAAACCCGGATATGCGAAATACCTTGTAACTGTGAACACTCTACCAACATAGAATTACTATTGGCAGCATCTGTGTAGACGTGTTCGCTTAACACTTAATTTTCAGGCCTTTACCGATCTTAATTAGGCGGAGCAGATACCGGAAGTCACCATGTAAAAAAAAAAAAAGTAGTAATCACTGGAATGTGACTGCGTATACTTAGACACAGAGGGTATTCAGAACTAATATGGCTACCAGAACACATTTCTGTTATCCCTGTTTTACTGATATATTACGTCAAACGGAAATTATAATATGACAGGGATAACACAAAAATGTTTTGGTTTAGGAAGTTTTATAGTTCCAAAATTCTGATTTTGATCAAGACTAGATTTCCTGCACGTCAAAAAATCAAGTAAAAGATGTGTTTATAATAGGGAATCTCTTAACCTGAAACAAATAACGATTTTTAGGAGAACATCAATATAAAACAATGGTTGGTAAACTATGTTGAAATAAGAACGTTAAGTTATTTCGTTAAATACTGAACCTTCCAACGCTTTCGAACCAGATCAGTTCATTCACCACCTAACCTTTCGATTATTTTATACTGATTTGATTCCTGTAGGCTAGTAACATAATTATTTACCTAAAGCTGCGATAAAAAATCTGACATTATTATAAATATATGTCTCTGCCCTAAGCCTCGTTGTGATTGATGTTGTAGTAAGGTTTAACATCTGTCCCCCTGTCTGTACTGCACGGCTTTACCGACCGTACAATTAATGACGACAACTAGACTGGCTGTCAGGTATGGATTTTATCGATCTTGATGCCGTTATAAAATACAACATCGACTATTACGTCCGTTAGGACACACTGACATTTAAACAATTAATTAAATCGCATTGAATAAATTTTCCAACACCCGATAATATGACATTTCATTGCCTAACGGTGGAAGATACAGAACTTTGAAGAGTAATTATACACCCGATTGGAATAAACATGCAAATTAAGTAGTGAACCATTATATATATATAATTCGAAGGAATTGCTTTGTTCTTGAGAAAGATAACCTGACAAATGAATCATCAATATTGGACTTGTATAATAATCAAAGTATGCTTCTGAGAATTATGTTAATGCATATATTTTAGTGGTATGCTAACTTTAGCAGATTTTACGCTTTAAATATGATTGCTTATTGAAGTATCTGTATATAATTTTCCTATTTTGAGTGCGCCAATTCATCAATGCGCTAACCTATACAGTTTTATCGCACGCATGAGGAATATTACAAACATGACCAATATGAAACAGACATTTCTAAGGCTAAGTAATTATGACAAGGGAATTTGTATTATGACAAATTCACAATTCGATAATACGCTAAAATTTGAGCCCACTAAAATATGTACTTTGACAGTAAGTTTCTCACAGTACAGTACATAACGGTGGTTGGATAAACTCAAACTAATGGACATCCGAGAACTGTTCTCTGAATAAAACATTATATTAAGTATTAACTCATCAATGTGTTTCTGAGTAAGAAATCATAGAGAGTTCCCTAGGTTTTGTGTATAAATAAGACCCTTGAATCGACATCGTTATCTAAAATAGCTTTTGGTAACAACTTTCGACTTGTCCGCTATGTAAATCACCTTTTCGCATGCTTAACGTAAGGGTTTGATATGCCAGTCTTTTTCATCTAACACGACAACTATAGATTCATCAAAACGCTAGTAAAATACACAGAGAACGATATTGCACACATGATCTTAGTTTGGTTGACATTGAATGTGGTGGAAGGATGTTTCTACAGACTACTTGGATTTCAATGTCAACTAATTGTGCCAATCTGATTTTTTATTCTGACCAAGTTGAATTATATAAGGAATATCATATAAATGAGCTGAAATGATAATTCGTCCCTTTATTGTTACATTCATATATATTTATTTCCAAAACATTCAAGCTATCATAACGTAACCCAGAACCAACTCCGTGATAATCATCTATCTTTTTTTACCTCGTGTATGACAATATTAAACTTGATAACCTTCCTTTGAACTGTTCAAATCCACGAACGTTGATTGTTCTCTCTCCACAAATGACCTACCCAGCCTCCCAGTATTTAGTAGTGTGAAGTTTACACGTCACAGTTGAATCTCCTGTCCGTGCCCGACATAAACATAATGGTTTGGGGATATATCCGACCCATTTGTCAATGAACTGCTTAGACATGGTACTTCAATATCTTACGGTCGATAACAAGAGTGGGTTTCCAATCAAGATAATTCAGTGTCTGTTAGGAATAAAGCCTTCCTGACAACAAAGACTCCTTCATCACGTGTTAGATAACTGATGCTTGACATACCGTCATTGATTTGACGGAAGATCATGAAGGGTGCCACAAATGGTGCAAGGAACTACTTATTCCTACGGAGGACATGATTTCGCTTCCGATAAATTTATGTGAAGATTCAATTGTCTCCTCACTTTCCGGTTTCTTTTCTTTTCTTATTGACATTGTGATGGCTGATACTGTCCTTGTGTGTTGACACTGTGGTATTATGCATTCTGATAATTGTACCAAGTAATAAACTAAAATATACACTTTGGGTGATAAACTCTGACCTATGCACTCTGAATATACTATCATAAATGACCGTCTCGATTGGTGCATCCCGAATAAAGTCATATCCTGAATAACGAATCCCCAGTAACGAACTCTCTGTAACATAACTCTGCAATGGGCAATGTGCTTTGAATATTTTACGATTGATGTCCTTAATATAATACACCATCAGAGTTAAAACATACTAGACATTGATAGGCAACCAGGCATGTTATACGTGAATTAAAAATGATTGTAAAAATGAATATACGGTTCTACCATATATCTGAATCGTCAAAAGGAATATATCTAGTTATAACCACCCACTACTTATTTATCATAAACATATGCTAAGCAATACGCATGCTTCTTTGCTGACACGTCTAAATATAACATATTTATTACAGTGTTATTTCAATGATATTCAGTAAATTTCTGGAACTTACACTTAAACGGAAAACATAGACATGGACATATATATATTGTTAAGAGGAAAACAGGTTTTATTGAACATTGTTCTTTCTAATGCAATCTTTTTGTAATATCAGAGGTACACTCAATAGCCAATACTTACCAGTGAAATATGGTTCACTACCAAGAGATCCGTGAATTGTTATCACTAACAGACTGAACAAAGCTGTCACTTAAACTCTCCGCTTACTGCTTTATCTAGCACTGAATTTAGTTGTCAGGTGTTGCTACACAATAAATATTTAATGAAACTGTCGTTATAAGCAGGTATATCCTGACGAGACAAGGTAGGTCGAGTGTATTGGCATTTATAGTAGGATCTGTCTGATACGTACGGTACACATATGTAGCTACTGTCTACTCCGGGTGTCCTACCACCGATCCTATTAATCCAATAACTTTCAGAACAATCACACTTTCAGTACACATTGTGTATTACCGTACATTTAGTCCCGTGTAACTGCCTCATCAGAATATCTATAACTGTCGCCTCGCCTCAACCACCGGATTCGGTGTACAATATAACGATTATAACTGACTGTTATAACTATATGTAGCGTGCTGAAAATTGATTGATAGTGAAATTTGATTTCAATGGCGACCTTGTTGAATCCTATCCAAATGTTCGATGAACCACGAAATTGACGCGTCTATAAGTAACATGTGTAGATCCGAAGGCGGCTTATCGCGTTCGTCTGCCATTAACGTGCTGTCAGTACAGGCTTTCACGCCAGAGTGAGGCATTGATTGGTATTCCACCCCTAACGATATGGGACAAACGCTAACCCAATACACAATACATTTGTCAATACACAACCTGACGTGTGGACATGCATAACTCCTATCTCAACCGGAATCCTGTTGTTTATAATATTCATGAGTTTCACAACACATATAGGTAAGCTCCTAAACTTTGCTATTTACTAGATGTTTACTCTGAATGCTAAAGTTTTATTGGTTAACTATTTAACATTATCTTTCTTGTCGAGTTGAGTTCAAAATTAATTAATTTGAAAATAAGCTATTTAACTTCATTTAATAAAGTGTCGAGACAAGTTAAGGCCATTTACATTCATTCATGTGATGACACCTTCCATTTACGGTATAAGTACACTGTTTGATTCCACCCGTTACTCAAATCAAGCCCTTTAAACGGCAGACTGTTTGAGGAGATAGTTGGTTTGCGATCAACCTTTTATGAGACATTTAGACAGATCGACCTGAGTTTGATTTGCAATTAACCTTTAATGTGACATTTAAATAGAGTTTGACGAGTTTGGTTTGTAATCAACATTTTGTGAGACATTTAGCTTGGTTTGTTTGGTAGATTTATTCCAGTGAATGTATGCTCCTCCTAAGATAAAAATAAACATATCATATCTCCTCCTAATTTAATGAACAAACACTCAAAGTGAGTAATGAACAACCTGATTCTATTACTAGAGTCTATTCCTGAATTTATCGAAAACATAGCTTTTAAAACCTCTGTTCCATTTTGAAATATGATATGTAAAAGTATATACTTTAAGAATATTGATCACACGAAAATAAAGATTTTTTCATCAAATCTTACCTCCTAGTTTTTTTTTAAATCTTCCCTATCTAAAGTTTGTTCTGTATAAAAATTAAATGCAAACTATATAAATAGAAATTCTAAAATAATTTGTTTACAATAAAACGATTGTAGATATGCATCAGGCCACCACGTCGATCTCTAAATCCGTTATAAACAACACTATTTATTATACACTTGTTCTTCGCGGCTTTTATTCTTATGCAAAGTCATTCCTACGATAGGGCTGCGACCATCCTACTCCACGGACGGGGTTAATCGTTCATGACCTGTAATGATCCCAAATTAACATTGTCAACAGCTTAACTAGTACAGGGACGTGTATTGTAAACTGTTGTAAAGTTATGTAATGATTTGATATATCAGTAACGCACAGGTAGGTCCGGAATCATAGTACAGTAGAGAACGTGTCGTAATACCCTGTAACACGCAGTTAGCTCATGCAAACACAAAAACCTATACGGTACTTAGATGACGTCATTCAGTAAATCTAATGTATTTAGCATTATATATATGGAATTCGGGGTTATTTATTTTCACACTGATTTATACTATATATTTATGTCGAACCACTGATGACGAAGCCCGTGCTTTGAACTCGTGATATCAGGCACCTTATTCCCTAACCGAGATATGTGTAATTCTGACCATTACACTCATCGTATCCTCCTCGAAAAGGAGATGTTGATGTTGTCATGGCAAACAGACCAATACACTTGGCATTGTCGTAGTTGGAAATTGTCTATTGATGATATAACTACCTGAATCGCGATGTGTGAGCATATCAGACACAGAACTAGCTGAAGTTCATTTGTTAGACCTTCGGACCAACATACACTTTTTTACATTATGTTTATTATTTGATTGAGGAACTTAAAAGCACAATTTTCGAAGGAAGGAAATGTATGACATTTGCCCTGTCCGGGCCTCGAATTACTATCTACGGCGCCAGATCCTGTTCTAGCCGACAATATATATGTTAATACAATGTGGTTAGACTTTTTACTAATTGTGTTGTTGAACAAAATAGAGAAAAAAGATAAGTCCATAATATATATGTTTTAACTATTTTCCTTGTGTTTATGTTATGTAATTATGAAAGTTAACAGTTGAAGCACGAAATTTTATATTAAACTATTACGACTAGATCAAACCAGCATTGGCCATTACGACTTGTGGATCCTCATTTTACACAAACAAAAAAATGATTTGAACACGCCACTGTGTATTTGTACATGTTGTTTAAACATCGTAGTGTTTGTAGATATGCAATATTAGAGGCTGTTATGCTAATTAGATCTCGAAAATGTAGGTAATTTCCCGTATTTAGGAATATTTATAAAAGTAATTAAATGTACAAAGCAAACAAGACGAGGGTGTGTTATATGCTATGTTAATATGATTTATGATGCAGACTAAAACCCCCACATCAACACATACCATTAGGGCAGTGTCGACACAAAAGCGCATAATCAAATTCAAATTGAAATTCGAACTTTTTTATTAACTGACAGTAAGCTCTTCAGCTGATTAGTTTACAAATGACATCTACATGCATTGACAGACTGCATCCATGTAGTAGAGAACGGACAAAATCAAGGTAGGTACAATTTATCATTACATCATAGCCTTTAAAAAGGACTCCGTTTGGCATATGCATTTTTACCTGCGTTAACCAGTATTCACTCATATTATCATTTGGGTATGAGCAATTGGAAATGTACCAATTCAAAATAAATCATAACATTACATGCTCATTTTTTTTAATTTTTTTTCAGTACAAATATGTTATTCCCCCGGCCATTTTTTTCATAAATGCTCATTTTTTTTAAATTTTTTTTCAGTACAAATATTTTATTCCCCCAGCCATTTTTTCATAAATATGTATATACATATACTGCTTCGAAGCAGATATATATATACATATATAAATATTTTGATAAGGGATGCCAGGGTTGGGGAGCCCTGGAGTCAACCCCTGAACAATATGGTGTCCTCATGCAGGAGGGTTCTCATTCAACATCCATCAGTCAAACTATAAAAAACAAAATATTTGCAAATAGAGTACAGGACAAGAACACAAAACATACTTCTTTCACACCCTAACAAATTCCATACACAACATAATATTACAAACAAGGATAAACATATAGCACGTATACACAAAAAACATAATACACATACAAATACACCAACATATATACTCATACACACATACATATATACATGAAACAGACAGACAGACAGACAGACAGACAGACCAAACAGACACACACACAGACAGACAGACAGACAGACACACAGACAGACAGTACATACATACATGTATACATTGAGACAGACTTACATACATTGAATCAGATGCATCCTTGCTCATTTCTTGACAAATAAAATATTTTTATAAAAGTCGAAAAGAACATGCCTATCTGCGAACCGCTCATTTCAGATCCATAACACAATATGCTGCTTACATATGTATCAAAAAGTATGACTAAACTAAGGCAATTTCAATTCAAATTTTTACACTTCGTATATAAAGCAAATACTGCCTTTTTGACTTGCTAAGACAATTGGTTTTGTGCAACATTAAAGTTATAAGATTTAAAAGTAATTCCAAGATACATAAACTGTTCCTCTACCTCTAGTTTCTTTCAATCATTGAAACCATGCCTCTCCATTTGTAAATGACTTCCATTTATAAAGACGATAGTTTTGTTTTTATCCATGTTTAAATTTCATTTCCATGAATTTGCATGAATAAACAAATTATTCAATAGATTCCGCAACCCTTGGGCTGATTCAGTAAGTAGCACCATATCTGCATACATTAGAAAATAAAAACAACTCTCTAAGTATATAATTAGAGACAACAACATGAGCCCCGAGGAGACACCCAACCAAACGAAATGACATAATGATCTCTCAAAATAAATGTGACAAGAACGTATATGTTCTCGACAGGTAAGGGTTTCCTGGACCAAGTGTGGACCACGTGTGGCACCCATGACGGTGTCTCATGTCAAATATATAAATAACATATGTCACCAGTGGTCACATTAACAAGCGATGGTAGATATTGAAATCCTGTAATTAGAAACAAAGTCTTAATGGCGATGGTAAAACATTCTCCACATAAATTGAATATCTGAGTTATTTTCAATATAAAAGCGGAAAAAAGAAACTGCATGCCTAAAATGTGTGATAAAAGTAAATGTGTATGACGTAGAACAACCAGAATTTCAGGGACAATTTATTTGTTATTTGTTAACAGTTGCATTCCACTTTCCACGTTATGGAATCAATTAGTTCCCCTCAGGAGTAGCGTAAGCACAGCAGGGGTCAATACTGAGTTCACAAAGTTAATACCTCGTATGTCCACCGATTGCCTGAATGCAAGCATGGCAACGTCGACGCATGGAGCCTATCAGACGGTTCAAAAATGCTTGTTGGATGGAATTCCAGATCTGTACCAACGCTGCAGGCAAATCAGCCGACGTCACCGGTTGATTAGGTTATGCCCGTAATCTGCGCTTCAATTCATCCCAGACGTATTTAATGGGCGACAGATCGGGGGAAACAGCAGGCCAGGACAACACCTCAACGTTCTGCTGGGCCAGAAAGTCCATAGCGACACGAGCTGTGTGTGGCCTGGCGTTGTCCTGCTGAAGCGTAATGTGACGTTGCTGCCCTTGCACGAATGGAACGACGTGGGTCCGGAGAATCTCGTCACGGTAACGTAGCGCGTTCAAATTCCCTTTAGCAACCACCAGAGGCATTCTCCCGTTGGCTGTGATGCCGCCCTAAATCATAACGCTGCCTCCGCCGAAAGAACGTCGTTGTACCGCACACGCATCTCGGAAACGTTCTCGAACTCGACGATACACTCTGGAACGGCCGTCACTACTATCCAGGTGGACTCGCGACTCGTCCGTAAAAAAAATGCCTGCCCAATCCCGTCGAGTAAATCACAGATGCCTTCTGCACCAGTTCAGACGTGCTACACGATGACGTGGCAGAAGAACTGGGCGGATTGCAGGACGTCGCGGACGGATAGCTCGTTCACGCAATCGGTTCCGTACAGTTCTCGGGCTTATTGGTAGCAACACATGGATTGTCCTTGCAGTCAAACTTGGCGTTTGGAAGCGATTTCTCAAATGGACAAGCATAATATGGTTGATCGCCGACGTGGCCAAACCGTTGATGTCGTCTCCACAAATCCCGGATTGTAATTCGATGGACATAAAAACGTCTAGAGACAATGGCTTGGCCCACACCAGCTTGAAGCATACCAATAATCCGGAGGCGGTCATTTTCATTGAGCCCCGGCATAGCATTAATCACAAATTGAA